AATAGGAACAAATGGAAACTTACAGCATATTTTTTTTCACACACACTGTATTTTATTTTTACAAGAGATAAATAAACAGCATATTCTTATTTCAGAAGATTATACATACTTTTAAATAAATAATGGGGAGAGAGTGTTCCCAGAAGGAAAGGAATGTCAGGGTTGGATACTCTGAACAGTCTATCACATATGTCTGAATTTTTCTTTCTCTTGGGATATTTGCCTCAGTATTTAATGTGGGTTGTAATTTTTCCTTTATTTTTTAAAAATAAATTTATTTAGTTTTGGCTGCGTTGGGTCTTTTTTTAAAATTAATTAATTTAATTTTGGCTGCATTGGGTCTTCGTTGCTGGGCAGGGGCTTTCTCTTGTTGTGGCGAGCGGGGCTACTCTTCTTTGCAGTGCGCGGGCTTCTCATTGCAGTGGCTTTTCATGTGGCGGAGCACGGGCTCTAGCCGCGCAGGTTTCAGTAGTTGTGGCACGCAGGCTCAGTAGTTGTGGTGCAAGGGCTTAGTTGCTCCGCGGCATGTGGGGTCTTCCGGGACCAGGGATCGAACCCATGTCCCCTGCATTGGTAGGCGGATTCTTAACCACTGCACCACCAGGGAAGTCCTCCTTTATTGTTTATAAAGTCTAAAGTTGGTCACAAATGTGTATTTCAAAGTGATTTTTTTTTTATCACCTGGGGAGCTTTTCCCCCCAAATTTATTTATGAAAAATTTTAAGATATGAAAAAGTTGAAAGAAAAGTGAATATTAGACATGTATATTTATCTAGATTGTATAATTAATGTTTTACCATAATTGCCTTCTCACATATCTCTTCAACTATCCATCCTTGTATCTGTTCATGAGTCCGTCTTACTTCTCTTTTATGCATTTCAAAGTAAGCTGCAGGCATCAGTATGCTTCACCGCTAAACACTTCACCATGCATGTTATTAACTAGAGTTCAGTGTTTGGTTCTCAAATTGATTTTTTTAAAAAAGGAAAGGAAAAATTTCCCTTTAAGAAGCATACTTGAAAGTAATCAAGTTGGTTTTTCTTCAAACCTTCTTTATCTAAAATGTTCAGTTTGGGGGGCTTCCCTGGTGGCGCAGTGGTTAAGAATCTGCCTGCCAGTGTGGGAGACGTAGGTTCTAACCTTAGTCTGGGAAGAGCCCACATGCCGCGGAGCAACTAAAGCCTGTGCACCACAACTACTCAGCCTGCGCTCTAGAGTCGGCAAGCCACAACTACTGAAGCCCGTGTGCCACAACTACTGAATCCCATGCTCCTAGAGCCTGTGCTCCGCAACAAGAGAAGCCACTGCAATGAGAAGCCCGTGTACTGCGACGAAGAGTAGCCCCCACTCACCGCAACTAGAGAAAGGCCACGGGCAGCAACGAAGACCCAACGCAGCCAAAAATAAATAAATTAATAAATGAATTTTTTTTAAAAATGTTCAGTTTGGGGAGTTCCCTGGTTGCCTAGTGGTTAGGAGTCCGAGCTTTCACTGGCGTGGCCTGGGTTCAATCCCTGGTCGGGGAACTGAGATCCCGCAAGCCTTGTGACGAGGCCAAAAAAGTATATAAATGTTCAGTTCGGTTTTATTATTATTATTTTTTAATGCTACCTTAGATGCTGATATCAGTTAGAAAAAAATGAAAATTGGCTGAAACTCCCAAAACTCCTACAGAGACAGCTACGCACTGTCACCAAAGCCGAGGCCCCGCCCAGCCCTGTAAGTACGTGGGTAGCGTTAGAGCGCCTCCTCAGTATCCTTCCTTCCTCTCTGCAGAAGAGGAGGTCCAGATGGTCACAGGTTTTATCTGTGATTATCCATAAATCTGGTAACGTTAGAAAAGAAAAAGGAAGGGGCAAAGGACTTTAGGTTGATTTCTAGCACAGTACAAGGCATGTTCAAACAGGGCTCTGCACGCGGGCTCTGGTCTTCACTTGGGTGGTACTTTGGACAGCTTTTCAGTGAACTTTCTAGGCTTCGCTTTCAAAATGAAACCCAATAAATAGTAAAATGGAAATTTGTAGACATAGGTTTGTAATATTTCACATAAAGTATAAAATTATTTTCTTGGAGGAATTTATGGATTTGGATATGCACATGGTTTCTGTATTTCCACATTGTTCTGTATTTCAAATACTTATTGCCACGTTCTAAGCACTGGTATTGGAACTGGTTATAATTATTAAGCTTCATTTTGTGCAGCAGGCATTAAGTATGTTGTTCCAACATTATTGGGACCTTTTTGTGCGTCAGTTTTAATTGACCTTTTTGTTTATTACAGAAAGCAATACTAAATAGAAAATGAAAAAATTCAGATAAGCAAAACTAAACTATATCACATTCCCATCCTCCAGAAGTCGTATGTGAGGGGTGTGTGTGTGAGAGAGAGAGAGAGAGAGACAGTGATGCTCTGCATTTTTAAGGCTGAACGGCTGTTTGCTGGAGCCTAGAGAGAGAGGGAGAGAGAGAGAGAGTTTTTAAACCAAAATGAGGTCATAGTACATACACTGTTTGGTAACCTGCTTTTCTTCAGTCAAAATTTCTACCCTTTCATTTTGGTAAGAATTCATCTCCTCTAATCTGACATTGAGTATCCCAAGTAGACCCAAAAATGTCATTAAGCTGCCTTGCCCTAACAAATACCAACCCAGGACCGTGCCTGGTGTCTCTGGTTGTTATGTTTCTTAAATTTTTAAATTTAGCACAGAATCCCACCCTTTATTAAATAACATTGACTTGCTTCTTTAACCCCCAAGTTTTAAAATTCAAACCTAAATTATAAAACAGAAACTAACACACCATTGTAAAGCAATTAGACTGCAATAAACATGTTAAAAAAAAACACACAAAAAATTCAAACCCGGGCTTCCCTGGTGGCGCAGTGGTTGAGAGTCCGCCTGCTGATGCAGGGGACACAGGTTCGTGCCCCGGTCTGGGAAGATCCCACATGCCGCGGAGCGGCTGGGCCCGTGAGCCGTGGCCACTGAGCCTGCACGTCTGGAGCCTGTGCTCCGCAACGGGAGAGGCCCGCATACCGCAAAAAAAAAAACAGAAAAAAAATTCAAACCTAAAGAAAAATACAGTGAACACCCATATACACTTGACTTTATTCACCATTCACTGATACTTTACCACATTTTCTTTCTCCTCTAGCCGTACCCCGTCATTCTCTCCCCTTAAACTTTTTGAAAGTTACTTGCAGACAATCCATTTGTATTTATGTTTGATTTTTGTCCTTTGCGACATTTATATTTCAGGCCAGGCTTCCATGTGGGCTGTTGTCTGACTGTTTCCACACGATTCAATTCTGTTAAACATTTTTGTCAGGAGTACTGTGTAGCTGACTTATTGGCCTTCTCAGTGCCTCACATCATGAAGCATGATGACAGTTTTGTCCCATTATTGGAGATGTTAATTCTGATCGCTTGGTTAAGGTGGTGCCTGGCAGGTTTCTGCATTATAAAGGGAGTTGTTGCTTTTGAAACGAAGTAATCTGTGTGTTGATACTCTAAAACTGTAAGTGTGCTGGAAACCTTTCATCCCAAAGTTTTAGCATCTCTTGATTCTTGACTGAATGAGTTATTAGAATGGTGTTATTAGTAAACGTGGTTTTTCTAAGTCTACTGATGAACAGCCAACTAGGCTTTACCAAATAAGGCAACCGCTTAAGCTACAGCCAATTTCCTTGCTTTGCTTCCAAGTCTCATCTATTAAAAACTTTCCCCCTAATTCCTGTCTTTTTAAAATGTGTTTCTGAATAGCTGATTTTAATAGTGATATGACTAGTTCCAAATGCCTTCAGTCAGGCCCACATTCAAAAGAGTAACCTCATTGGCCATGAAACAGTGTTGCATTTATTTTATATAATGAGAAATTATTTTTATTTTTCTAAGCAATTGAAAAAGTTCAGTTCAGTTGACCCTACAGTTGAAGCGAATTAAAACATGGCTTTCTCCTCTCCAAATTAACTGCAAGCGAAAATCCACTTATATTATTTCCTTTAAGTTAATTGTTTGATGAATGATACAAATACGTGTTTAGAGACAGTGATGCTCTGCGTTTTCAAGGCTGAACGGCTGTTTGCTGTGGCCTAGGAAGAGCCTGGACAACTGTCTATAAAAGAACCGTTTTTCTTAACTCTCGTCCTTAATAAATATGAATCTTGATGTGGTAGAATTCTAAATTCTAAAGAAATAGCCCTACGGATCAAAGTGCAAGTTATATCTAAATTCATTGATTGGCGTTTTCTCATAAGGAAGTATCCCCTACTCCTCACTTAATTTTTTGGTATCACTCTTTTATAATTGAAGTATAGTCGATTTACAATGTTGTATTTGTAGTGTCACTCTTGGTTCATAGATTCTATTTTTAGTCAATGTATTATAACCTATCATTGTTATTTTTTTACGCTTCAATGTTTGGCCAGCAGGAGCCCTTTCAAGCTGGCTCCTGTGTCCTTTGGATATGCCCCCCCACACACACACACAAGCTTTTGAGCACCCCCTTTTGTCGCAATAAAATGTTCCTTGTACTTTCCCTGACCTAGTCCAGAATTTCCCCAAGGAGCTCTGGTCGCCTTTGGGGACTTGTTGAAGAGGCCAGGTAGTTATCACATAGAATGCCCCTTCTTTAGATTTGTCTAGGTACTTATTTAGCTTAGTTTCTCTAACCCTATATTTCCTATAAAGTGGAAGTCATCTTTAAAGCTTGATGGATTCTAGATCCTAGGTGTGATGTGTGATTCCATTTTGCATACGCCGTCTGGTTGACCTACCCTTAGTGATGTTGTGGCCACTTACCTATAACTAATTTTTTGCCTAATCTATTGAGATTTACAGATACTGGTAAGACCGTAACCCGATCTTGGAACTGCCTGATGTTAAAGAAAGTATTCATTGGCCGTGTTTTTTAAATATTTAATTTTCTTGAATTGTAATCATTTTCAATCTTTTTCTTCCCCCCCCCCCCCCCCCCCTTTTTTTTTTTTTTCTGTTAATAGTTGGACAGAGAGAGTCTGAAGATGTGACTGAAAGGGACTCAGACAAAGACATGGCTGCTAACTCAGCGGCGGTTCAAGACATCACGAAGGAGGGGCAGGAGGAAATGCCTGAGATGACGGAACAGATCCCTGCCTCAGAAAGCAGTGTAGACGAGCTGATGCAACCCGCTGAGCCCCAGGCTAACGACGTAGGATTTAAGAAGGTGTTTAAGTTTGTCGGCTTCAAATTCACTGTGAGAAAGGATAAGACAGAGAAGTCTGACACTGTGCAGCTTCTCACCGTCAGAAAGGATGAAGGCGGAGGGCCAGGGGGGTCCGACGAGGCTGGTGACCGCCTGGAGCCCAGCCGGGAGATGGGGGACGCGACACCCACAGACACTGAACTCAAACAGTCCACAGAGAAGCCCGAAGAGACGCCCAGACACGAGCTGAGCCGCCCAGAAGTCTCCCTTCAGGTGGAGTCTGGTCCACCAGCCGAGGAAGGCAAAGATGAAGGAGAAGAAAAACAAGAGAAAGAACCCGCCAGATCTCCAGATTCCCCGACTAGTCCAGTGGCCAGCGAAACCGCATCGCCCTTCAAAAAATTCTTCACTCAAGGTTGGGCCGGCTGGCGAAAAAAGACCAGTTTCAGGAAGCCTCGGGAGGATGAGCTGGAGGCTTTGGAGAAGAAAAAGGAACAAGAGGCAGAAAAGGCAGACACAGAAGAAAACGAGAAGACGGAAGATCTCTCCGAGCAGCCGTCCTCACAGGAGGCCCGCGAGAGCACCCAGGATGCCAGGCTGTCGGCCGAGTATGAAAAGGTGGAGCTGCCCCCCGAAGACCAAGGGCAAGCACCTCCCGAAGAGAAACCCGCCCCATTAGCAACAGAAGTGTTCGATGAAAAAGTAGAGATTGTCGCGGAGGTCCACGTCAGCACTGCAGAGAAGGGCACGGAGGCGCAGAAAGCCGAGGTAGAAGAGGCAGTAGAGCCCTCGCCACTTGAGCGATCGCTTGAAACGGACGCCGACCTTCCGGACGCCGAGCCCCCGGAGGCGCTGCTGAAGATGCAGGAAGAGGCGGGCGCCCCCAGCGGGGACCACGCCCAGCCGGCCGAGCTCTGCGCAGCCGCGAAAGCGCCTCCCACGCCCCCTGAGGGCGTCGCGGGGGAGGTGGAAGTGCCGTCCTCGCAGGAGAGAACTAAGGTGCAGGGAAGCCCTTTAAAGAAACTGTTCACTAGCAGCGGCTTAAAAAAGCTCTCTGGAAAGAAACAGAAAGGGAAAAGAGGAGGAGATGAGGAGTCCGGGGAGCAGCATCCAGCCTCAGCGGATTCTCCCGACAGCCCAGACGAACCCAAGGGTGAGAGCTCGGCCTCGTCCCCCGAAGAGCCCGAGGAGATCACGTGCCTGGAGAAAGGCGTGGCCGAGGCCCCCCAGGACGGGGAGACGGAGGAAGGGACCACTTCCGATGGAGAGAAGAAGAGGGAAGGTGTTACCCCCTGGGCATCCTTCAAAAAGATGGTGACACCCAAGAAACGCGTGAGAAGGCTCTCTGAAAGTGACAAGGAGGACGAAGTGGAAAAGGTTAAGAGCGCCACTCTGTCCTCCACGGAGAGCACCACCTCTGAAATGCAGGAGGAGGGGAAAGGAAACGGAGAGGAGCAGAAGCCGGAAGAGCCAAAGCGCAAGGTTGACACCTCCGTGTCCTGGGAAGCTCTGATTTGTGTGGGGTCATCCAAGAAAAGAGCAAGGAAAGCATCCTCTTCTGACGACGAAGGGGGACCAAAACCCCCAGGAGCAGACAGCCAAAAACCAGAGGAAGCAGGGAGAGACAGGGAGTTGGGCCCAGACGCGCCCCCTGCCGGCTCCCAAGACCGCGACCAACCCCCAGGAAGTTCCTCACCCGAGCAGGCCGGCAGCCCCTCCGAAGGGGAGGGGGTCTCCACCTGGGAGTCATTTAAAAGATTAGTCACCTCAAGAAAAAAACCGAAGTCAAAACTGGAAGAGAAAAATGAAGACTTGGTAGCTGGGTCCAGCCTAGAATATTCAGCCTCAGATGCTGAGCTGGGGAAAGAAGAGTCTTGGGTTTCAATCAGGAAGTTTATTCCTGGGCGAAGGAAGAAAAGGCTGGATGGGAAACAAGAACAAGCGGCGATGGAAGATACGGGGCCGACGGAGGTCAACGAGGACGATTCGGACGTCCCAGCCGTGGTGCCTCTGTCCGAGTACGATGCGGTGGAAAGGGAGAAAACAGAAGCACAGCAGGCTCCGAAGAGCGAGGAGGGCCCCGAGCAGAAGGTGGCTGTCGACGTGTCGGAGGAGCTCAGTAAGAGTCTGGTTCACACCGTGACTGTGGCTGTCATGGACGGGACAAGGGCCGTTACTAGCATTGAAGAAAGGGCACCTTCCTGGATCTCTGCTTCGGTGACAGAACCTCTTGAACAAGCAGAAGACGAAGACAAGCCACCATCTGGGGAGGTGTTTGAAAAAGAAGTCGTTGCAGAGGAAACCCCCGTCGATACCAAAACGCTGCCAGAGAGCCAGGAGGCCGCTGATGACACAGTCGCCAGCAAGGTGGAATTGACCCCTGAAGCTCTGACGGCCACAGAAACCACAGAGGCGTTCTGTGCTGAAGAAGCCACAGAAGCCTCTGGTGCTGAAGAGACCACCGACATGGTTTCGGCTGTTTCCCAGTTAACCGACTTTCCAGATACCACCGAGGAAGCAACACCGGTTCAGGAGGTGGAGGGCAGCATGCCCGACATGGAAGCCCAGGCGAAGAGGACCCGAGAGGTGCTGCAGGCCGTTGCAGAAAAAGTTAAACAGGAATCACAGCTGCCTGACGCCAGAGGGCTAGACGACACCATCCAGACAACCCAGAAAGGACAAGCGAAAATACTGGAGCAGGTGGAGGAAGCAGAAGAGGATTCTCACGCACTCGGTCAGAAGGAAGCAATGGATGGAGCACCCAGAGTACGTGTACAAGAAACGAAAACTGAGACTTTGACACAGGGGACGGCGATGGTACAGGCCACCCCGGAAAGCTTGGAAGAAATTCCTCCAGGCACAGAGAGTGCAGAGGCCAGGGAGCTTACAAGCACTTGTCCAGCTGAAACCGTGGCTGCAGTAAAACCAGAGACTGTCCCAGAACAGGCTGTTGCTCCTGACTCAGCTGAAACCCTCACAGACAGTGAGACCAATGGAAGCACCCCAGTAGCAGATTTTGAAGCTACAAATGTAAGCCAGCAGACCATGATCATGGAAATCGATGAAGACGGTGAGGTTCCATCCGGTACCCAATACCAGGTCACAGAAAGTGAGGCACTTCCTGAACTGAAAGAGATGCCTCCAGAACCTTCCAATTTTCAATCCCAAGAAGAAAAGCGTTCAAAAATGGAAGAGGTTCTAGAACATACAGATAAAGAGGTAACAGTGGAAACTGTACCCATCCTTTCAAAGACTGAGGTGATTCAAGAGGCTAGCCGATGTGCTGATGAGGAAGCCAAAGAGGAACCATCTGTCGAAGGACTTGTGGTGTCCGCTGACACAGAAACAACCGAGAAAAAGATAACTGAAGTTGCCCTTGAGGATGAAGTTACGAAAAAAGCTGAGTTTCAAAAGAATGATGATCTCGAACTCCAGAGACCTGCTAAGTCTCTTCCAACCCCAGTGGAGAGAGAGAGGGTAGTTCAAGTGGAAAGGGACAAAACGGAATTAGAGCCAACTCAAGTAAATGAAGAGAAACTTGAGTGCAAACCAGCTGTTACCACATGTGAAGAGCTCAGTAAGCAACTGGTTCAGGCAGTGAATGTAACCGTCATAGACGGGGAAAAGGAAGTCATCAGTTTTGAAGGAAGTTCTCTGCCCATTCACGAGGAAGAGGCATGCACAGAAATTCAAGTTCAGAGCTCTGAGGCACCATTAGCTCTAACAGCTGCAGCAGTGGGGGAGAAGGTCTTAGGAGAAGCTATCAAGATTTTAGAAACAGCGGAAACTTTGGAATCTGCAGAGGCACGTTTAGTACCGGAAGAAAAGTCCTCAGAAAAAGACGAAGGCTCTCCTGCTCAGCCAGGGGAAGACGCGGTGCCCACAGGGACTGAGTCTCAGGCCAAATCAATCCCGGTAATAGTATCTGTTACGCCTGAAAAAGGCATCAGCGCAGACCTGGAAGGAGATAAAACCACATCACAGAAATGGGAGTCAGATGGAGACGGTGAGCAGGCTGGTTGTCAGGAAGGCGGAGTAAGCAAAACAAGAGAGGAAGATTTAAAGGCTGAAGATGAGATTTTGAAACTTGAGACAGAGAGCTGCAAGCTTGTACAAAACGTAATTCAGACAGTTGTTGACCAGTTGGGGAGTACAGAAGAAATGGCCTCTGCTTTCCAGACCCAGGCTCAACTGACGGAAGCCGACAGCCAGGAAGCTGGGCAGAAAATCGAGAAAGAAGAAAGCAAACTTCAGCCCTGCACGTTGGATGAAACACAAACCATCGAAGCCAAAGAGGAGTCCCCGCTAAGTGCCGGGGAACACACACATCCAGATGTTTCCGGAGATGTGAATGAAGCTTTAGAGAAGATGGCGGCCACTAGGGTAGAAAGTTCCCCGGTAGATGGCCAGCAGCTTGAAGAGGTAGCTTCCCCATCCAAGGAGAAGAGAGAAGCCCCTGAAACAAAGTCTGTGCCAGAAGACGACGGTGGTGCCGGGTTTGGAGAAAGAACAGAGAAGTCACCGTTTGAATCCCGAGAAGATGAAAAAGGTGATGCTGCTGTTGACCCCGGGAACCAAACCTCAGCCCCGGAAGATGCTGAGGCATCAGGAGGCTCGACCAAAGAGTCTCCAGATACAATTGGACCCAAACTGAAAGAGAAGGGAGATGGCCAGGAAGTAGAATTTCAGGAAGAAAAAGTGCAGAGCGAGTCAGAAAAAGAGATCAAAACACAAACACAGGAGGAGACACAGGACCAAGAGAGAGCACCGGCAAAACCCGAGCCCACAGAATCCTAAAATGTCACGTAAGTAACTTCCCTTCCTTTGAAAGTAATTTTGCCCTCTTTTCTGTCATCTGGTGGCAGATTTGTTATGAGGGAAGCAGGAATTCAAATAATTAGGATTTTATGCAGAACCTACATCTGGGGAAATAACCATCAACCAGACTAGGAGATCCAGGTTAGTTTCCCTTTTTAAAAATTTATTTATTTATTGGCTGCATTGGGTTTCGTTGCTGCGCGTGGGATTTCCCTAGTTGCGGCGAACGGGGCTACTCTTCGTCGCGGTGTGCGGGCTTCTCACTTCAGTGGCTTCTCTTGTTGCGGAGCACAGGCTCTAGGCGTGCGGCTCACGGGCTACAGAGCGCAGGCTCAGTAGTCGTGGTGCACGGGCTTACTTGTTCCATGGCATGTGGGATCTTCCTGGACCAGGGCTCGAACCCATGTCCGCTGCATTGGCAGGCAGATTCTTAACCACTGCACCACCAGGGAAGCCCCCAGGGTTAGTTTCCTTTTTCTCATTGACATGCTCTTCAGTCTTACTGGTGTCCTGAAAGTAATGACTTCGTTTTACCCCCAGTGTGACTGTGTGTGTGTTTGGCTCAAAGACATAAGAAATACGTTGTGCTCACAGCTACTTTGTTGCATTTTTTTTTAATAACTAGAAGTCCAAAGTAGGTTTATAAGGTCGTGCTTGAAATTTATAGTTTATAGCTCTCTGGGAAAAAATTGGATTTCTTCCAGCAGTAGTAAGAAGCATTTAAAAAAATTTCCAGTGCATGTGAGATCCTGCCTACTGGTGTTCAAGTAGCAAAGGATGCTGTATTATGGACCTTCACCATCTTTCTTTCTCACACAGTTAAACCGTGGTTCTCACTAGGGCTCCCATTGGCTGCAACTCACTTTCACAGCTCTTCTGTTGTTGAATAAATGAGGGAGGTGAAGGGTATGTTATTTACTTTTGATTCTGGCTTCCTCCTACAGTTACAGTTGTGTATTTGCAAGACCAGAATGTGAAGACGAGTGGGAGAAGAAAACGAATGCTGCTGACGAGACCAGAACTTTGGGAACGGAAGAACAGACACATCAACTGCTCTCATTTCTAGAGAACCCCTGACAATCCTGAGGCTTCATCGGGAGCTGTAGCCAGATAACATTTCTTCCTTTCAAGACCACCCTGATATTTTCCCTCGGTACCATATAATGTTTCTGATTCAAGGTCCTTAATTCTTAGCCCGGAACTGGAGTTGGCAATACCTAGTTCTGCTTCTCAAACTGGAGTATCATCCTTTATGTATTTATATGTATGTTTTAAGTAATTCTCCTGTATCTATTGTATATTTTTTTTCTTAATGTTTAAGGAAATTACAGTATAGTGCATTCCTTCTGTATCACACAATATACGACGGGGCATGCAACCACGGTGAAGTCTCAGGAAGCTGTCTGCCTCAGTTACAACCTTTGAAAACAGAGCTTCCTAGAAATAACATTCCTGATCAGAAGCTACACTTCTTGTTTTAAAATTCACTAAGGATTAGGTCCTTTCAGAGTGTTTAGTATCACTCTGAAATTGGTCACTTTCCTATTATGCACAGTGCACTAAAAATAGAAAGTGTTTTTTGGAGGGAAACATACAGAATGTTCCGTTGTTACTGGGAAATTTTTCTTTCTATCCCCCAGTGGAGGTTGGAAGGAAGTTTTCTTCAGTAGCAGATTAATTTAAAGTCTTCTCCGCTAATTGTTATACGGTTGTTACGGACAGATGAGTGTGCTTAATTTTGAGGCAAAGTAGTGAAATGTTTTTCATGTTATCAAGAAACAAATCGACTGGTTTTGAGGCAGAGTAGTGAAATGTTTTTCATGTTATCAAGAAAAAAATCGACTGGTTTTGAGTCTACCTTCTATGCTGGACCACATCCACACACAGCACGAAATAAGTCAGGTTCTTTACAGATGGTATTTTGATAGAGGCTGGATTGTGTCTGTGCCATACTTGTGCCCACTCTTTTAAGAACAATGTAGCATTGTCATTTGGATAAATTGTGATTTGACAACTGATTTCAATAAAACATTTGCTTCACTTAGATTTGTTGGATTTATTAGATAATAGGAAGCCTGGGACATATGTTTACTGCATTCTAAAAGCAGAGAAGCTAGAAGTTTCTAACGTAGTCACTACACGCTGTCACCACTTTACACCAGTTGGAGTTGGGGATCAAAGGAAGTCAAAGGCAGAGGGGGATCCGCTGAAATAAACCAGGAGCGTTTTAGATTGACGGTACTGAAACAATGCTACCATCTGGTGGTGCCTTCCTGAAAAAGTCAGTTTTCTTTGTTAATATCTGTTCATGACAAATGTCTCTAGAATGACATTTTAAGAAGGCTTAGTGGTAAAAATGCCTTACCTAACAGGTGATCTTGGAAAAAAATTTTTAAGTGTCAAAATGACTTCTGATTCACGTTAACACCTAAAGGATTCTGTCAGACAGGTGCCACACAAAGGACAGTCCCCCATCTACCTGAAAGTCCCACTTTTTCATGGGTAGCACTGGCCTGGTGTGCACACTTCTTAAATTGTACTCACACTCAGTACTCCAGTTTGAGAACTTAAATTTCAACTGCCAATTAAATTATTTTGAAGTATAACATTCTAGCAAAAGTAGAACAGTCTTTTAGCAGAAAGACAGTGCTGTCAAAACTGGAAAGTCGTTTCTCATAAACCAACAAACCTGACTACGATAAAAAATTGGCCATTATTAGAAAGACCCCCTCATGGTAAGAGCATATGGTAGTTGGAAAACATTTAGTATCTTGTAGTTGGAAAACATTTAGTATCTTTTTGGGAGTTTTTCACACATATAATAGCCACTTACTTGTGCTTAATTACTAAACTTTAAAATCCCCAAATCAAAAAAAACACCCTCTGATCTAAAGATATTTCTTTCGCCAACTTGATACTTTAAAAAAATCCGAATGCTGGTGTCAAATTTTGAAGATCAACTGAAATTTGGAGATGGTAGCAGTTTTTAAGGAGTTCATTACACTTCTAAATATCAACTAACTTCCTTTCTACGGCAGGAAGTAACTTCGTGCTATTTTGAACAGATTAAAGATTTGTGTAGTTTGTGGTAATCATTTTTGGGGGGTTTAAATTCCATCCTGCCACTTCATCCCATTTGTATTTGGTCTTGTCTTATTACACGTGGCCAGGTCATTCTGGCCATCACGATTGGTCTTCCAGTAGTGGTTGCTTCATGATTGTGCCCTTGATGTGCCCTGGATTACTTCCGTACAAGCTCTGGACCTATGTCCATTAAGCATCATTGTTTTATTAACAGGAGGAATGCTATTAACAGTAGCATGAAATACAATTCTGTATTATAACTGTAAAGCTGCTGTTAATTTGTGAAGTACATAATAATCAAATGCAAACTGCAGAAGTTGGAGCAAGTGCCTAAACTTTGCTATTTTTGGCATTACTGTGGAGCCGTGTTCAATAGAAAGCAATGCAAGACTTGTAAACTCTCGCCATTTCTTGTAATCGAAGAATATAAAATGTTCCCCCTCAGGTTCTTTTGCTAATGGTACACCCGAGTTGCCTCTCTCTGTCACACAGATACTTTTTTCCGGTATTTTCCTTTGATGTTTGGAACTACAGGTAGTGAAGGGCTGGAAATTTTAGCTTTTCAGTGTAAGCTTCAAGCTTAGCAGTTTCCTTTTTAATCTGAGACAGTATTTGATTCCTAGTTCTGTTTGGGGGGTAAATTTTCATTTATCTAAATAAAATGCAACCTAATTAAATGCCATGGATTTTCTTTCTATAATTGCACCATAATTCAGTTTTGATTGCTCTTAACTGTTATGAGATTCATCACACATTTCACTTCTACTTTTAACTACTTAATCATCCTTTGAGACACTGGCCACAAAGCTTCGTGGGAGTTTGGAATGTATCTGGGATTCTGAGTGCACAGAAGTCTCTATCAGTGATTCTTCACCTTTTTGGGTCAGGGCCCCTTTAATTAGACTCTCATTAAAGCTCTGGCTCACCTCCAACTCCCTAAAATGAACACAGTTTCAGGTCGTTTTTGGATAGCCACACTCTGAAATCCCAGCGGTAACCAGAATCAGAGTTAGAAACCCCTCATCCAACTGCAAGAAAGGAAATGGACACAGTCCAAGGATTCCCAGGAAGAAGTTGGCACCTGAACATGACCAATGTCACATGACTTCATTTGTAATGTGACGCTGGAGATGAATCTGATGGATAGCCTGGCACAATTTTTGTGCAAATGCAAGTTTTCTCCTCACCACCAAATTCCTTACCATCTCTTACAATTAGGAAAATGACCTGGCTCTCCTTTTATAAATAAGGAAGTTGAGATATAGATCACCAGCCCTTATGTGATAGCACAGGTTTTAGCTAAGGTGACCAGGACGTGGGGGTGGCATGGTGGTGAAGATAAAGATAATCATGACTTTTTTTTTTTTTTAGTGCTGTCACAGCTTAGAAATCAACCCCCTTTTTTGATATTTAAATATAACAGGCCATCTGTACAGTATCCTACACTTAGGACTGAGGTAATCTCATGACTTTGCGTATTCTCCCATTTCTTGTTGACATGAAAAATTTTAACACGAGAAGTATAACATGTAACTTAAGAGAAGCTTCCTTATAGATAGTACTCATATTTGGAGACCAGAGGTAGAGTAACATTTCATAAATGATGAAATTTGGACCCAAGGTGTTATTTTCCCACAACAGGATATTGAGTGCTAAGTCCTAGCTCTAACTCACCCCTGTGTGTTTTCTTGTTTGTTCTAATAATCCCAAATAACTTGGTATAATTGTGAGCACAACGACAATCCTTTAAATTAGGCCAATTTAAAAACCACATTGTGGGGCTTCCTGGTGGCGCAGTGGTTGAGAGTCCGCCTGCCGATGCAGGGGACGCGGGTTTGTGCCCCGGGCCGGGAAGATCCCACATGCCGCGGAGCGGCTGGGCCCGTGAGCCATGGCTGCTGAGCCTGCGCGTCCGGAGCCTGTGCTCCGCAACGGAAGAGGCCACAGCAGTGAGAGGCCCGTGTACCCAATCCCCCGAAAAAAATAACAAAAAACCCCACATTGTGCTTGATTCTACTTAACCACTGTCAGCCTCAGGAGCTCACCTGATTCCTGGAAAAGCAGGTGGGGTTGCCTCTAGGACTTGAGACCTGGATACAGTTAGGGTTCTTTGTAAAGGCCTTTTGGAAAGGGTACTAGTGTTGGCCAGCGGGCCATTTTAAGGAGTGGGATTTATCCTAAGATATCATTACTTTAGTAGAGAAATGATGCTATCCTTCTGCCATTCCCAAGGCAGTGTTAGCGGTTGTGATTCTGCCCCACTCCCCTGTAGAGTTTTTGCTTATCGCAATGGCTAGGGTATTACTGAATTTTAATGAGTTGGGACCAAACGCTTGTGATGCTGCAAGGTCCAGAGCAGCCCTTCTTAAAAAGAGAGTTTCTACCTAAAATGCCAAGCATTCTAGAGAATTGCTTCTAGAGAATGAAAGACCAGAGGTTGGGAGGAGACTAGCTAACATGTTACTATGATAACCTAGCAAGAGCTGAAAATGGCCTACGTTAAAGTAGCGACACTTTGGCTGGAGGGGTGTGAGGGGGTCGACAGATGTTAGGAGGTGGCCTCAGGGCAGGATACCTGATTATTTGTCATAGGATCAGCTTGGCCTGAAGAAAGAAGTTTCCGGGGAATTGCCTGGTGGTCCAGTGGTTAAGACTCGGCGCTTTCACTGCAGGAGCCTGGGTTCAATCCCTGGTTGGGGAACTAAGATCCTGCAAGCCACGAAGTGCAGCCAAAAACCCCAAATAAACAACCAACCCCCACCCCTCGCCCCAAAACACACACCGCCGCCCCCCGAGCAATAAAATGACAAACTTTTTTTTTTTTTAAATGAAGTTTCTATGTTGACAGCCTGGGTGTGGAGCCATGTACCGACATGGGTAGAGGTAGGTGATGATATTTGTTTGGGTAATGTTCAATTTGAGAGGCCTGTGAGATCCCCAAGGGAAAATGCAGGACCAGTAGCTGGCTATATGGGTCTTATAAACAGAAAAGGGTTCAGAACAGAGACATCAATGGCTCTTCTGTCCTCTCTACGTCCTTGGAGACGCAGAGGGGGAGATAACCTACACAGATCCCTACGACATTTCCTAAAAGCTCATGCACCAACATTGGTGACTAAGAAAGGTGAGGCTGTTGTGTTCACTTACCCTGTCACAGCCGTTTCCTCATTTCAGAATCCATGACAAGGTGCTTCACAAGATTTTCCTCTTGTGAAGGTGCTTGACAAAGTAAAAAGCAAAATCCACCATAGTACATTAATATTAGTAATTAGAGGAGAAGTTTTAGTAAAACCACCCTGATGACTGTTGTGCCCTTGAGTATTTTGGAAGATTCAGAGTAATGATACTGATCTTTCTAAAAATATCATAAACGTCTTTTTCAGACATGCTCTCTTTGTGTGTCATCTGCATTTCTTAACTTTCCTCCTCTCCTTGTTGCCTTTTCAGCTTTTGTGGCCTGCTGGCACATCTCCCCAGGGAGACTGGGGTGGGGGGCATGCAACATGGGGTAGGGGACTCTGGCTGGGAGGGGACCAAACCTGCAGTCTCTTCCCGGTCGCTCCCGGGACTCCCTAGACCATGCATCCTCCTGGCGCCCAGTTCTCTCTGGCTGGCTACCTTGTGACCTTTGTCTGCTTCTGGGCATCTTAATCTGAATGGAAAGATAAAAGGACTCTTTAGTCTTTTTTCTTTTGCTAATCAAAAAAATTATAGAAATGAATTTAAATGACTAACGGCAAGGAAGGGTTTCCTAGGCAGAGTAACGATAGCAGAAAGAGCCCTGGATTGGGAGACGTGGACTCTGTAATTACCACCATTTTGTTTCCTCATCCAGATCCTTGCCTCTCTTAGAGTAAGGAGGATGGTCTAGGTGACCTCCTCAAAAACTAGTTAGGGTATTTGGTTACTATGGCTATGATCTTTTCTGTACTCAGAGATTACAAAGGCATTTAGAATGAGAACACGGACGTTTAAAATAAATTCTAGGGCCTCTCAAACATGCATTTTTAAGGGTTCATGCACCAATCTGTACGTTGCACACATCTCATTAAGGAGCACTTTGCTTCAAAGAGAGAAGCATGCTAGAAATGGCACAGACCCCTTTCTGGCCCTTTATTAGCTCCCCTGGTTACTTATTTATTTATTTTGGCTGCGCCGGGTCTTAGTTGCAGCATGCAGGATCTTTAGTTGTGGCATGCAGATTTCTTAGTTGCGGCATGTGAACTCTTAGTTGCAGCACGCATGCGGGATCTAGTTCCTTGACCAGGGATCGAATCTGGACCCCCTGTATTGGGAGCGTGGAGTCTTACCCACTGGCCCACCAGGGAAGTCCCTCCCCTGGTTATTTCAATTCTGAGAAGAAAGTGGAACCAAGAAAAGGCAGTAATACTACAACACAAATTGTATAGCGATGCTGTTGTTCTCAAAATGTTGCTCTGGCATCATCATCTCCATCATCATCTTTTGGGAACCTGTTTAAAGCGCAAATTCTTCAGCCCCACCCTGGACCAACTGAATCGGATACTCTGCAGTCTGTTTTATCGAGCCCTCCAGAAGATTCTGATGTGCTGAAGTTTTAGGACTACTGTAGTAAAGGCAATAAAACAGAATTAATTTAATCGCCTCAATAGCAGAATGAATAGGTTAACAGGTGGAAAAGGTTTCCCCTTCCAGATTCCCACCCCTCTCCTGACATACCTTCCCCCCAGTTGCTTCTAGCCCACAGAAATATTTGCACATTGGGGAATATAGCATCTGAGCCACATGGGAGTTTGAATCCTGTC